ACCACTACCACTACCACGACCACCACGACGATTGCTGCAACGACTGCGGCTACGAGTACGACTACGACGACGACTTCTGCAGCACCACTGTTACCAAGAATATTGAGTTCCACTATGGTAGTTCGGCAACGACTACTTACTATTGCTGCTCCTATCAAAAGCAGTGGTGATGATGATGGCGATGATGATTATGATGCTGATTGTGCCGTGAAGATCGGGTGACATACAGGTTCATATTGACACAGCGATGCTGGTGATGACAACAATTGATGCTCGTGTTCCGGATGCGTACGATGATGATTGTGAGTATGGATGCGCAAATGCAGCTCTGCCCCCTGCCAGAACCAACCGCAGGCCTCAGACTGTGCGCTACGACATCTTGTGTGGCCAGCGCTTCTCAGCGAATTGCCGGCTGCCAGCCAGGCTGACTGCAAAATCAACAACAGATGAAAGCGCGGACGCACGCACACTAGCACGCACATGTGTGTGCTTGTTCACGCTCATGAGAGTCTCTTCCAGGTTTGTTGGATGTGAACTTCTGTCGGTTTTGCAGTTTTCACCTCCCAGCTTTCCAGGTCTTAGTCTTGCCGATTCGGGCCGGGTTCGGTTTGGGGAAAGGTCGGAAATTCGAGCGATAAACTGCAACTGCACCCATTTCTCAGGGCAGCGTTGGGAGCTCATAATCCAGTAAGCAAGGGAGTGATGACTTTATGAAGGCCGGCGGATGAGCTCTTGTACACATAGCTTAGACTACGTAGAGGACGACCTGTTTTTGTGTATGAATACGTTTGGGTACACGTTTCCAGGGACAACTTCCGGGACCTGTATGGAGTTGAGTTGTCAAGCGTATCTTGGGCATCCCTGTGTACCCCCCTGACTGCTGAGGTTTGAAGCATCAAATCTCAGCCCAGAAAGACGGAGCGACACACAGCATTGTTCTCTTGACTGTCGTGAGCGATGCCAAGCAGTGCTGACATGAACCAACACCGCCTGAGAACGACGAGTCATCTTCGGCCAAGAACCCATTACCACACGCAGACGAAGATGAGGAAGAGGACGAGGCGCGGGGAGGATCAGGGCAAGGACGAGGAGGACAACCAAGACGAGCACGAGGAGAACGTGTAAGACAAGCCGGACCCAGCAGATGCTGAGGACATCTCAGGACGAGGAAGCCGCCGAGAACCAAAGCGGACGATTGACAGGACGAGGACAAGGGGACGAGCAGGGCGAGAGAGAGCCAGGGCGGGGGGGGGTGGAGTGAGTGAGTGAGTGAGTGAATGCACGCGTGCTTGTTCATGTATTTCGGTGTTTCTGTCCTTGTTGCGGAGGTACAGCAGCCCCTTGCTTCTCCACGCTCATGTGCCAGTGGAGCCTGCGGTGCGCTACCGCAGCTGGGGCAGAGCATTACAGGGTTTGCAGGGATAAATGACGGGAAGCCCCTGTTAGTTGAACAAGCCTTGAACGAAGAATTGCATCGTTTGCAGACTGTTTTCGGAAATCAGCCAGGGGAGTTCAAGGAGAACGGGACACTGCGCGAACAACATAAAGCACACCCTAAGCATTCCCTTCCCTGGTGAACCCTATCCGCTTTGCATTCGCGATTTCAGGTGCAGGCTTGAGTAGTTCCGTTTACAAAGCATCGGGGCTCTTGCATGCGAGGCTTTCGACTGGCATCCAACCAGACGGCTGGCACGACACCCTGGCGGAACTTGCACCCCAGCAGACTTTAGACACAGCTTTGGTTAGAGCTCCGAAGGATCTGGTTCCGATTCATCTGTATCAAGGCCGGTGTGTTACATGCCTCGGCATGCCTCGACCATCCCAAACCTCAACAGCTGCAAGCTGCCGACACGAGGAAGGGTCTTCCGAAACGGGGAGACGAGCTCAAAGTTGCTGTCATAGGCGCGGCCCCCTACTTCCCGTGGCAGCGATCGTTTCTACTATTTTTTAGTTGTAGCTCCAACAACCTATCTCTCGCAGAAGTGGGGGTTTGAAGCAACGTATCAGGCCCAGGAGAGCGCCCAATCAAGGGTGTTGCATGGAAATGAACTGCAACAAAGCGCAGTGAGTGCCAGAGAAAGGATGTCCCTGAAGGCGTCAAGTCGTCATCGGAAGAAAGCAACCTTCGAGTTGTCGAACTGCCAAAGGCCCCATAGACAAAGTGGCCGAATGTTCCTTTGAAGACATATGAAGGGCAGAAAATCCTGCCAAAGTAGAATGGAGAACCGTCCACTCCAACATCAAGCGCGGGCGCGACGCCAAAGAGGCACTGCGTAGTATAAGGTGTAATGATAAAGCACCGAAGCTCCAAGAAAGGCTGCGCAATCGTGCCATCGGAGAACACGCACATGGAAAAGTCAAGGTTGTGATCTCCAACACTCGTCCACTCCAACATCAAGCGCGAGGGCGGCGTCAAGGAGTGCACTGCGCTGTAAGGTGCAAATGTAAACCAAAGAAGCCGCGTGAGGGCTCTGCGAGCGTGCCATCGGAGAACACGTAAGAGGCTCATACCACCGGGTCGTTCTCTCAAGCACTGGTAAACTACCACAAAACCAGGAATGAACAGGAAGTCATGGAACACGGACAGAACGCCCCCCCAAATACCTCACGGTATTCCGAGCAGAGTGCGAGCCTCCACAAAGCAGCATGGGCCAGAGCCACCCAGGTAGTAAGCCAATCACCGGCGTCAGGCGACACGCGCCCTTGTGCCCCGGAGGGCGTGGAAGGGGGAGGGCAGGAACCCTCCCCCAGTGGGGGAACCGAAGTTCCCCCGTCGGTCTCCTTAGCTTCGCACCGTCCGCGGAAGGCTGAGGAGTAAACTCAGCAGGAACCCTTGACTGAAGACGAAAACCGGAGTGAATCCAGCAGGAAGCTTTAACCCAAGACGAAGGTTCTTCACTAGTGAATACCCAAGACGAAAACCCAAAAGCCTAAGCCTAAGGTTTGCAGCAGGAACCTTTTCCCGAAGAAAACCCTACAGTAAGCAGTGAATCCGGCAGGAAGCGTTGACCGAAGAGGAAAGCCTTTCCCGCTAAGTCCAGCAGGAAACTTTAACCCAAGACGTAAACCCTGAGGAGTGAATAGGCGCAAGCCTGCGGAGTGAATCCAGCAGGAACCTTCAACCCAACACAAAAGCTGAAGGAGTGAATACCCAAGACAACACCAAGGAGTGAATTCCGAAGGAGAAACCCCTTGGGAGTGAAAAAGGTTAAAAGTTACATCTGGCAGCAAAAATTACAACTAAGATGCCTGTTTTGCAAAATTCTGCGGAGATTTGCTGTGTTCGGAGCCTAAGAAAAAGCTAAAACTAAGTGATTTTAGTGGAAAAAAGCTGAAAAGTTACGTCTAAGAAAAGAAAGAAGTTACAAGTAGGTGTTCTACCCTCCGTTTGGGTACGCACGCATTGTCACGTCTACGCTTTCTTCTCGGTGGGCAGATGCAGACCCTGGTTGTTGACACATCTTGGACTGGGATTGTGAACGTTTCAAGCACGGGTGGAATGTCAATGCTTGGACTGTTGATTAGTTCCCTGAACTGTGTCGGCAGTGGGCAGGGACGGGGTTCCGGACTCTCAGCATGTGTGCTCTCGGCTCCAGTCTATTCCATCCTACTATGCACCATATAACACTACATAGCTACAGCAACATCTGGCACGTAATGTAAGATAGTATATAGTATGATAAGTTCTACACTGTGTCTGGTGCGGATTGTAGGTTTTCTCGCGGGCCGGGCTGTCAGAGGCGACCTTGGGCAGACCGCCTTCAGCGAGGCCACCTGCCGTGACGTGGCGAAGGTGCACAGAAGCGACGGCCTCGACCTGGGCGTGCTGCTAGGCGGCTCTCGGGATGATTTGGAGGGCGTTAAGTCGGTTTCAGGCTTTGGAAATGAGGTGACAGCCACAGCGTGTTGATCAGGAGGTGAGGTGATGTGTCATGGCAAGGGCGACTAGCGTCACAGCCCACGTCACAGTATCCGAATCACTCCACTTACTGCCGCATTGTCTGACGGCATGCATTGGAAACTGCCCCAAACAAAACCGAAGATCTGCAGAAGATCAACTCCCTGAAGGAGATTTATCCTATGCCGACACGAATGCAAGCAGGCCGCGGCCGCTCCACCAAAGCACATGTGGTCAAGACTTGCACTCCCTTCTTAAGCCCTCCACCGGACCCCTAAAACCCTGAGCCCCCGCAAGGTGGGATTCTTTTCAGCGCATGTTTGACACGTCCGGATGCGCCGACATCCCTTGGGTGGTGCTTCCCGGAAATCACGACCGCTGGGAGAGTTCGTGTTCTGCCCATTTCAGGTTTGCTTCTGCGTTTGCCAGCGTTTGTCGATGGGGTGTTGCTCTAAATCACTACCCCTTCCGTGTACTCATATTCATGTTCATGAAGAGCCCGGAGTCCAGAGGCATAATTCAGAACGACCCCTACACGTTGTGGTTCAGGACTTCTGGTTTCTTCGTATTGAACCCCGGCCATGCTTCGACATATACAGTTGACGAAATACTGACATTCCAGTATGTTCGAAACACTTGCCCCGGACATCACATCATCGACTTAGTGCACGGTTTGCTGCATCTTCAGCTTGCTTTGCATTTGCTCAAGTCATCTTGCTTTGGGTAGCTGGGCGGATTTGCTATCGCATCCGCAGACCGGATCTTGCTCTTTCCCTACACTTCAACTGTGCAGTAGATAAGTGATGCAGTGTTGATACCAGAGAGTGGGTCTAGCATGAATCATGTTTCTAACTTTGACACTGTTGTTCTGTGACCGCCCGAAACGGGACTGCCATACCTCAGATAGTATGATTGTGCTCTTGCGCGCGAAGCATGACATGCGATAACGCGTTTTTCTTGGTACAGTAAGCTTCCTCCACAAAGAACTTTGCAGCTTTACACTGAATGAGAGGTGCTTTGCAAAGCTGTCCTCTCATATTGTGCAGTACTGTGCATATTCTTCGCCGTGCAGTGCACTAGTCCTAGTCTACCACGCGAAGCAATGCAAGAAAATATCGTGACAAACAATGTCGGTCAGCTCATGTTCAAAGCGATACGGCAGCGCATGACAGGCTGTACCAGAACCAAGAGTGCTTTGATGCCGCGACATGTGTTGCTTCCCCACACGGTCGGTAACGTGGCGGTTCTTATCATCCTCGGTACTGGTGTGGCGTGCAACGAGCATGCTTGGCACCATGCTAGACGATGCAGAAAGAAATGGTTTGCGCAAGTTCTTGATGTCTCTCATGATTTGGGCTTGTTCTGCTCTGCGAGTCTCAGTTCGCTACCTTTCTACCTGCTCAAGGCACAACAGATTCGCCGCCTTTCCGCCTACCTGTCCATTTTGGTGCATCTTCCTTTCTCTCCCCGTCCTCTTACTCATGCTTTTTTTTTTTCTCTCTCTCTCTCTCTCTCTCTCTCTCTCT